CCTGTTTTAACATTTACTGGAATAAAATGTCCAATCTTAATATTTACTGATACAATAACGTCTAGTCTTAACATATAGCAATAAATTACGTCCTGTTTTAACATTTACTGGAATAAAATGTCCAGTCTTAATATTTACTGATACAATAACGTCTAGTCTTAACATATAGCAATAAATTACGTCCTGTTTTAACATTTACTGGTATAAAATGTCCAATCTTAATATTTACTGATACAATAACGTCTAGTCTTAACATATAGCAATAAATTACGTCCTGTTTTAACATTTAGTGACACATAATGTTCAGTCTTAACATATAGCAATAAATTACGTCCTGTTTTAACATTTACTGATACATAATGTTCAGTCTTAACATATAGCAATAAATTACGTCCTGTTTTAACATTTACTGATACATAATGTTCAGTCTTAACATATAGTGATACTTAGTATCCAATCTTAACATTTAGTGACATATAATATCCAATCTTAACATTTAGTGATACTTAATATCCAGTCTTAACATTTAGTGATACATTATGTCCAATCTTAACATTTAATGATACTTAATGTCCAATTTTAACATTTAGTGATACTTAATGTCCAATCTTAACATTTAGTGATACTTAATGTCCAGTCTTAACATTTAGTGATACTTAATGTCCAATCTTAACATTTAGTGATACTTAGTTATCCATTCTACCTCATATTTATGGCTGTTTTTAATCCGTTCTCCATCTTTATTTCCACGTAGCCAAACGATCTGGGGCTGAGGGTTTCCAGAGGCTCGACATAGTAAGTGAATGTCGTTACCCTGGACCTCAATCCTCGTTCGAGTCCACATATATATTCTAGCAGGTGTGCCTGGAAGAAATATTTTTTAAAATTACAGTTTTGTCTCGTATATTTACTATTTTGTATGTTTTCAAATCTACAACAAAAACATTTGAGCACAAAAACCCTTTTTTCCCTTGTTTGACATTCTAACGGTTTTGTGTGTGTTTCCTGTAAACTTTGTTCAACTAAGTTCAGTTCATAAGCTACACAATAAAGTATCTAGTCTCTCTTTATTGCGGGGAATCGAATCCCGAATTCTCGTACTGTACAATCTCAAACCGACCCACGAGAAGGACGATTAATCTTAGATCACAGGCTTGTTTTGCACGTGAATATTTTCCTCGTGATCAACCAATAATTTGTTAAATTCCGACATATTGGATTTCACTTATTTACTGTTTGTTTCTCACGTAACAAGTTTAGTTATTTAAGGAGTGTGTGTGCTCCTTTATATTTCTCCTTTATATAAAACATACCTAACAACTGTTTCACCCTGCAGATGGCGCCACTGATTTTGCCTGCTTCCGTCAGTTTCAGGTCAGTTTTTTCACTGACCCGTTGGTAAGGGCTCTCGGAAGCACATTGGTAAGTACCTTCATCTTTAGCCGTGACACAGTTAAGATAAAGTCGGGATCTAGTCCGGCTAAAACCTTCGCTGACCTCCTTATCTTCCATCACTTCCGCTCCATCCATATCTCCCTGGAAAAGGATAAACAAATACATTAATATTAGAACAATAACAGACGCCAATCATGTGTGGGGGACAGGTCCCCTTCACAATATCTTATACATCTGAAATATCAGTTCTTATAGTTTTATAATTACAGATTTTATAAAGTCAATTCTATATGGAAAAGGATAAACAAATACATTAATATTATAACAATAACAGACGCCAATCGTGTGGGGGGGACAAGTCCCCTTCACAATATCTTATACATCTGAAATATCAGTTCTTATAGTTTTATAATTACAGATTTTATAAAGTCAATTCTATAATAATCGTAATTATGTTTCTAGTTACGAATGATGATAATTAGCCACTTCTAGAGGTGAATTACAATAATTGTAATAATTTTTTATAGTCATAAAACAATAAGTATGAAAGTAATTATCGACCTCTGTATCTTCGTAGGGGGATACGTCATCCACCTAATACAATTTGTCCACCACCACCCCTCCCTCTCCAATCACCAAATGAGGACTATTACTTATTGAACAAACTGTGAAGGGAAAAACTGGAAGATTAAGTAACATTAACGACACAAGTCTTATATTATGTTCCCTCCCTCACTTCTGTCTTTAGTGTATTTATCTCATCATAAGATTTTTTTCTAATACTGGTAAGTTTGCAATAAAAACAGAATTGTACAGTCGTGGCTAAAATATTTACCCTCTGTTCTGTATTGATGTTATTGTCTACGTGCATGGAGTAGTTATTGAGTAAATGCCCGAGTAGTAGCAGAGAAAGTAGCTTATGATCAACCAAACATGTACGAGTTGTTATTCTGGTCTGTATAAGTTGTTTTGACCATTTGTTCGTCAAAACACACACACATACACACCTGTTTTGTATAAAAGGGGTATGTTATTGGAAAAATATTTTTCAAAACCGATGAACGCATTTTTTTCAGACAATTTCTCTGTACTTTGTGTAGAGTCATGCTTCGTCACGTGCCAGAAATTAGGCGTCAAATTGTTCAACTGTCCAGAAATGGTATGAAGCAATCGGACATTGCCAGAACAGTAGTATACCTCCAATGTACTGTATCCAGAATCCTGAAACGTCATCGAACTACAGGAAACGTTGTTCCAAAAAAGTCTACTGGTATACGCCGAAAAACTACTGCCCCGAGATGACCATGTTTTAATCAAGTTAAAACTACTGCCCGAGATGACCGTGTTTTAATCAGGTTAAAACTACTGCCCAAGATGACCGTGTTTTGATCAGGTTAACACGTCAAGGTCGAAAGAAGTCTTGCAACACCGTACAACAGGAATGACACGAATACATTCATTCCAGGTTACCCAGAAGAACAGTGAACAGGAGACTGACTAAACAATGTTATCTGTAAACCGATATTAACCATAATTCACTGTCGTCACTGTGTTATTTGGGCAAGACAACATGTCAACTTACAGTTAGGACACTGGTGACATGTAATCGTTTCAGATGAGTCTGTTTCCGGCTTGTTAGAGAACAGATGAGGTGGTGCAGTACATGTTTGGGCAGCTATTCATCATGGTGGAAAACTGCCCTTCATGTCTTCCAAGGAAACATCAATGGCGCCTCCTACAGGCATCACACGGAGATGATATTTCTACCGTATACTAGGGCAACTTCTGGCAATACATTTGTGTTCCAGGATGACAATGACAATGCCCACAGTGCGCATATTGTACAGGATTTCCATTGCCAGCAAAATCTCCAAATTGTAATCCCATTAAGAACTGTTGGGCAGAACCGAGCTGGAAAATTGCTAACAACGACCCTAAACCAGCTACTGTAGCTGAGTTGCAGCGCCTTCTAGTGAAATATTTGGATGAAATCACGTTGGACACGCCGCCTTGCGGAGGCTATTACAGTACGAGGAGGACCAACCTGTCTCATTATACAAATTACATGTTTAATATAACATGTATTTCTCAGTTTGACAGTGCTAAGTGTATTTGTATTCCATCTTAATAATAATAATAATATTTGTTTCAAAATATGGAAACATTTAGGCCAAGACATACATCGGTAAAAGCTGGTACATCTATAGATTTACAGCGGTAAAAGACTGGTACATCTAAAGATTTACAGCAGTAAAAGACTGGTACATCTGGAGATTTACAACGTTAAAAGTTTGGTACATCTGGAGATTTACAGCGGTAAAAGCTGGTACATCTGGAGATTTACAGCGGTAAAAGACTGGTACATCTATAGATTTACAGCGGTAAAAGTTTGGTACATCTATAGATTTACAGTGGTAAAAGTTTGGTACATCTATAAATTTACATCGGTAAAAGACTGGTACATCTAGAGATTTACAGCGGTAAAAGACTGGTACATCTAGAGATTTACAGTGGTAAAAGTTTGGTACATCTATAGATTTACAGTGGTAAAAGTTTGGTACATCTATAAATTTACATCGATAAAAGACTGGTACATCTAGAGATTTACAGCGGTAAAAGACTGGTACATCTATAGATTTACATCGGTAAAAGCTGGTACATCTATAGACTTACAGCGGTAAAAGTTTGTTTATTGTTCTTTGTTTTTAAGCACAAAGCTACACAATGGGTTATCTGTGCTCTGCCCACCACGGGTATCGAAACCCGGTTTCTAGCAGTATAAGTCCCCAGAAATACCGCAGTGCCACTCAGTATTCAACAGTATTCTACACCCGTGTATACATCAACAGTATTCTACACCCGTGTATACATCAACAGTATTCTACACCGTGTGTACATCAACGGTATTCAACACCCGTGTGTACATCAACAGTATTCTACACCCGTGTGTACATCAACAGTATTCTACACCCGTGTGTACATCAACAATATTCTACACCCATGTATACATCAACAGTATTCTACACCCGTGTGTACATCAACAGTATTCTACACCCGTGTATACATCAACAGTATTCTACACCCGTATATACATCAACAGTATTCTACACCCGTGTATACATCAACAGTATTCTACACCCGTGTATACATCAACAGTATTCTACACACGTGTGTACATCAACGGTATTCTACACACGTGTATACATCAACGGTATTCTACACCCGTGTGTACATCAACAGTATTCTACACACGTGTGTACATCAACAGTATTCTACACACGTGTGTACATCAACAGTATTCTACACCCGTGTGTACATCAACAGTATTCTACACCCGTGTGTACATCAACAGTATTCTACACCCGTGTATACATCAACAGTATTCTACACCCGTGTATACATCAATAGTAATCTACACCCGTGTATACATCAACAGTATTCTACACCCGTGTATACATCAACAGTATTCTACACCCGTGTGTACATCAACGGTATTCTACACCCGTGTGTACATCAACCTAGTTAGGAACGAACCTTAGATCTACATATATTTTTCGACTTTCTGAAAAACATTAAAAACTTCCCTTCTTAAAATGTCAAAAAATAAACTTAAAAGATAATAAGTATTCAATTCAAGAGGAATACAACAAGAAATGTAATGATACAACAGGAAATGTGATGATAAAACAGGAAATGTGATGATACAACAGGAAATGTGACGATACAACAGGAAATGTGACGATACAACAGGAAATGTGATGATACAACAGGAAATGTAACGATACAACAGGAAATGTAACGATACAACAGGAAATGTGCATTTCACCATCTCAGTGAGGTGGGTAAGTGTGTTTTTGATAAAATACAACAGTGAGGTGGGTAAGTGTGTTTTTGATAAAATACACCAGTGAGGTGGGTAAGTGTGTTTTTGATAAGATCTATAAGGGAATACCCTAATACCCCACGATTCGATAGGCCTACCTGATTAATTCGGCGTCCATCTTTAAGCCAGTGAATTGTGGGTGACGAGTTTCCCTCTGCTTCACATTCTAGTGTGACACTTTCATAAGGGTCCAGGGACAAAGAACTGCCTGGTGTCCCGAGTAGCCTAACTCCTGGTTTTGGAACAAAATGTTCTCCTGTAAATTAAAAAAAAATTAAGTTAGTCGATACTACGAGTGATAAGAATTAAAAATATTGGATTATATTATTCTTCTTCTCATAACATGCAAATAAAATTATTGGATTATATTATTATTCTTCTCATAACATGCCACTAAAAATATTGGATTATATTATTATCCTTCTCATAACATGCCAATAAAAATATTTGGATTATATTATTATTCTTCTCATAACATGCCAATAAAAATATTGGATTATATTATTATCCTTCTCATAACATGCCACTAAAAATATTGGATTATATTATTATTCTTCTCATAACATGCCAATAAAAATATTGGATTATATTATTCTTCTTCTCATAACATGCCAATAAAAATATTGTATTATATTATTATTCTTCTCATAACATGCCAATAAAAATATTGTATTATATTATTCTTCTTCTCATAACATGCCAATAAAAATATTGTATTATATTATTATTCTTCTCATAACATGGCAATAAAAATATTGTATTATATTATTCTTCTTCTCATAACATGGCAATAAAAATATTGTATTATATTATTATCCTTCTCATAATATGCCAATAAAAATATTGGATTATATTATTATTCTTCTCATAACATGCCAATAAAAATATTGGATTATATTATTATCCTTCTCATAATATGCCAATAAAAATATTGGATAATATTATTATCCTTCTCATAACATGCCAATAAAAATATTGGATTATATTATTATCCTTCTCATAACATGCAACTAAAAATATTGGATTATATTATTATCCTTCTCATAACATGCCAAGCATATAACTAAGCCTAAGCCAGGTTTCTGTAAAATGTTACGTTGTTTTTCAGCGACATTACTACGTTCCATTTGTTCGCTAAAACTAGTAAATGAAAAACTAGTTCGATATTTAAGACAAATATTTGGAACAAGACTCGTATATTTTAATTACTAATACTAAAAACATTTCAATATCATAAAACTGTTCTTTTGTCAATATAAAAGGGTTTGAATACTTGTCTTGAAACTTAATGTCAGTGTTTCGGATATTTTACAGCTCGTAATGTCACTGCTTCGGTTTTTAAAACTTCTAATGTCAGTGTTTTATGTTTTTAAACTTGTAATGTCAGTGTTTTATGTTTTTAAACTTGTAATGTCAGTGTTTATGTTTTTAAACTTGTAATGTCAGTGCTTCATTTTTTAAACTTGTAATGTCAGTATTTAATTTTTTAAACTTGTAATGTCAGTGTTTAATTTTTAACTCGTTATTCCTGTGTTCATTGTTTTTGTTTTTTTATGTATCGTTATTTCAGTATTTCGGATTGTTTAAGTTCGTTGTGTTAACTTTCCTCACCTTGTTTAGAGTTTCGACGTATTTTCAAGGTGTTGAGCTGAAAATAGAAAGAAAACGTTTTAAAGAAATGGCGGGATAAGACGGTTTTGATGTTCTGTTACAAAAACAAAAGTATCAAAAGTAAAAACGGTCAGTATTTTTTATGATTAACAACATGGGTTTATCATATGAGAACAGATATAGGTTTAGATAAAAAATGAAAAAACAGAGAGGTACAGAGGAGAAAATTAAAGAAGCCAGTATTAGGGGCCAATGTAACATGTATCCACCGCGCAGTCTCAACATGGTCAATTTTGACACCGGAAAAATTGAAAACTGTCTATATCTATGTTTGAGACCTGCAAAAAAAAATATCTTTGTATCAATTTCCATGTAAATTGGTCAAAACAAGGCTAGATAATTGACCAAAACCCCTAAAATTATTTAACCTTTTGCCTCCCCTAAAATGACCAAAAACAGGCATATCCCACATTTTTGTACTTATATG